AGTTGATTTTTCCCACAAAACGAAGTTCCTGAACAGGTCACTCATAACCGTCAACACTCATGGGTGCTCATCGGTATCGAAGTTTCATAGCGTATATGGCCTACAAAGCGGCATTACGGCGATTTTGCGCGTGCAAAGAACAAGAGTAGTTACGGTACCCTACAGTACCGCAAAACTTCTGAAGCACCTCAGGATGGGCGGTTTTGAACAAGTCTTTCTCCACTCCCAAGAGCGCCTTCCTGGTGTCTGTACCGTTTGGGGATTTTTCATGTTTTTCAAATGCTCCTGCAAGGACATGTGGCTCATCATAGGAAAAAACCGTCGATTTTGTTCATGACAGTGTTCGTGTGGGTGTTCTGCAGACGCAGACGAGGAGGATACATAGATGCAAAAAAATGCCCAATTATTTCAACAGCAGGATGACCTCGGGTGAAAGTGCAAGCAAATGTTTCCTGTGTACCGTCGCCACCTGAATTCAATAGTTTAAAAGGTGGGCGTTCAGGGAGATGACAGTAATATGCTCCAGTTTCTTGTGTCAGTATTTTTTATGATGTTCTGAACAAGAAATCCTTTTCAGATGAGGCTCATCTTCCTGGTCCTTCTGCTTGGTGTGACTGTTAGTAGCTTCTCCATCAGGCAGAAGATCAAGGATTTTTTTAGTGGAGGCATAGCAGAAAAATTGAAAAATGTAGCCAAAGAAGGCATCAGAAAGGTGTTCTTCCTTCTGTTCCAGTCACATACGTTCTTCTCTTCTCTCACGGTAAATCCCTCACGTTCAGGCTCTGAATGGCACCTTCCTGCTTAAAATCAGCGATGCATTCAAAAAGCTCGGCTCCGTAATCAAGGAACGGCTCACCCTTTCTCCAGAGAGGAGAGCCGCACTTCTACGAGCACTGCAGGCAAGATACTGGCTGTTGTCGTCAAGTAACTTCAGGAAATGGTTCTGTTTTCAGCGAATAAGGAACATCACGAAGGACCGAAAAGACGGATCTGCTGACTCCATCGAGGAAGTTAATGATAGGAATGAGCTCGGGACGGTCATGTTCCAAAGCGACATCGTCCTTACTGAGTATGCTAGTTTGTAGACGTTCTATTCGTGGTCCATACCTTGGTGCCTTGCAACAATCGGTCTTTTCCAACTCATAAGAGTTGCCTCATTGTAGGGAACAAGCGAAAGATATTATGAGCGAGTACACGGGAAATCGTACGAAGCGTCAGGCATTTAAAGACAGAAATTACCCAAATAATATCTGGACAAATGGAATAGTCAACTACGACTTTGCCCTATTCCTTAGTTTGTTTGAAGTTAGTCGTTGACCTGGTTCACCTGTGGCACATTCTTTGTTCAGACCCTAGAGTAATCGAAGTGTTCGAGAAAGCGGCAAAAGCTTGGGAGAGCAAGACCTGCCTAACATTCAGGAAAGTAAATTACGGTGAAACACGTAAGTCTAAATGTTTTCATTTTTTGGTCATTAGTGGACGAAAAGGCAAATGTTCAGCTGAACTGATTAACGTCGGTGCTCTGGGTGGATGCTTTTCCTCTGTGGGAAAGACCGGTAGACCTCAAGATCTTTCGCTAGGAGATGGATGTCATACGGTGAGCTTCCCTCCTTTTACAAAACATTTTCGAGGCCCTGCCCTATGAATACTACGTTATGAACCCATTTAAATCGGTACAAAGAGCTCCCAAGCTCTCACTTCAGACTTGTCCTTCTAGAGCGATGATTTTGTTATGAAAAGGCTCTTCAGGTAGGAATAGCAGCCCACGAAATCGGACATTCGTTGGGGCTGTACCATACAATGGGCAGAGCCGATCGTGACAAGTACGTCACTGTCAACATGGACAAAATCAGGGTACGGATTTTATAGGACACCTACAGGATGTCAATCACATGAATTATAGCAAGATTATTACTCTGAGTTTCTCACCTACACCGTAGATGTGGATACTTACGGTGTGAGCTATGATTACGGTAGCATTATGCATTATGGAGCAACAAGGTTCGTCTTCCACGGGATTACTTACAGTAAAAGAATAGAAGCTCAGTGTAAGTTGCAATTTCAGTTCTGCTATTGATCGCGTTTCGATAACAATGCTCCCAACTGATGAGAAATATCGGGAGACGCTTGGTTCGCCTCTCATTTCCTT